TTAGCATTTTCTATATACCAATACCATAACATTTTCCAAATATTTTGACTTATTTTGAGCTTTTTACGGACATTCTGAGTTTCCATTTATTTTAGTTTTTTTTTTCTAAAAATATCAACAAAATTTTATTTATTGGTTAAAAAAGCTTGAAAATTTAATAGAAGGCTCCTAGTAAATTGTTTCAAAGTCAGATGAAAAAAATTAAAAATCCTTTGTCACTTTTTTTTTTATAAGCATTTAAAGTTCAAATATTGACAAAATACGTCAAAATGACGAAAATTTGAAAATTATTTCGAGTTAGAACTCCTTAAATAATTTTCTTTTTAAATCTAAGATTTGAAAATGTAATACAAGATTCCTCATAAGTTTTTCTACGTTTATCAAAAAAAAATTTCTACAAGAAACTCAAATTAAATTTTTATGATCGTTTGAAATTCATATTTTTATAACATTTGATATTTACTCGATTTCTCATGTAACGATTTTCTTATTTTGTTGTAATTAAATAACGAATGACTGTAGATACTTGAAAATTTCATTGAATGTTTATATTAGCATTTCCTATACACAATACAATTTTGAAAATATTTTGACTCTTATTGAGCTGTTAACGGACATTGTCAGTTTTCAATGTTTTTAGTTTTTTTTTCTATAAATATCAATAAAGTTTTATCTGTTGGGCCAAAAAATGTAAAAATTTAATACAAGGCTCCTGATATATTGTTAGAATAACGGTTGAAAAATATTTAAAATACATAGGCACAATTTTTTTTTATAGGCATTTAAAGATTCAATTTTGACAAAATGTATCAAATTCAAAAGTGAATAATTATTTTGTAGTTAAAAATGTATAAAATGTTTAACTTTTATATCAAAGGACTGAAAATTTAAAACAAGATTATATGTAAGTATTTAATTCTGTTACCAAAAAATCTAAAAAATACATAAGCACAGTTTATTTTTATAGTCATTTTAAGTTCAAATTTGGACGAAATTACATATTAAAATCAATATTAACGATTTTGGTTTTTTGTTGTAATTTAAATATATTATTCGGGGATATAAAAAACTGAATGATCAAAAAATCAAAATATTATGGCCTATCCATACAATCTACCTTAGTATAAGGAATAAGAAGTATGCTCAATGATAAGACTGTGCATATTATGTGCGACCCCTACAAATAAAATTGTATTGACCTTTATAGAAAAAATACTAAAAAAAGTTGAAATTTAAAATGTCCCTACACAGCTCAAAGCACATCAAAATATTTTGAACATTTTATCAAGTACCTATAGAAAATGATAAAATCAATATAAAGTGTAAATTGCAAGTAGGTATCTAAGGTTATAAAGTTCAATTAAATTGTCTTCAGTTAAGTTAAAAGTTCACAAAAAAAAATTAACTAGATAAATTTTAAGTTGAGATAGCTTAATCACAGATATGTTTAACACTATGTAAAAAATTAGATTATAATAATATAATATAGTTTAATAAAAATGACAATAATCGAAAAAGAATCATCGAATCAGTATTATCATTATCTATAGTTGATTCCGCATGACACGTAAAGAAAATTAACTTACCTACACACCAGTGATAATTAACTATAAAAAGTTAAGTTACAACCATACAAATTTCAACTGAATAAGTTAATAAGTTAAAAATTAAAATTGGAAAATCATTCCACCAAAAACCCAAAATCGATTTTGCAGAAAACCAATTTTGTGTAAGAATTCTAGTTTTTCCTAAATTTTTTTTTTTTAATTTTTCCCATTGCTTTTGAAAACAAGGTAATGAATTTTAAATGCCAACTCAGTGCATTAACTAGATTTTCTTCCCCATCGAACAAGATACTGAAGTTGAAAATCTGAGCATTATTTCGACTACTTATTATGTATATTGTATACAGACACAAATTAAAAAAAAAAACACATATCATTGTAATGAATACATTACAGTCAATAAGTTTATTACTCCCCTCAGTATCTAAAAAGTAGAAGATACATTTATCATATTTTATCACTCATAATAAATTACAGAAGATAAACAACGATGACCATTATAACTTATTAATTATTATGTAGGTAGGTATGTCGCACCACAGTCTCAAGTTGAGAGTTGTCATTGTTTCTGGTAAACAAGATTACAATCTACTGTACAACTAAAATACAACTAAAAACCGTAAGCAATGTAGGTATAGGTACAATTATACAATGTCCTTAGACATCAATCTGACTGTCCATCCCTATTCAGAATCGTTTTCTGTAGGTCTCTATAAAGTTATATTTTACCATAATGCATTCAAAGAAATATTTTAAAATATTATAAATTTGTTTTGTATGCCATCAGCATAATGTTATTGTAACAGTATCGGTGATATCTAACGCACAGTACAGCGTTGGACACGTGTGTTTGCATAGCCTAGTGTGAAATAAACAATAAGCTTAGGTATATAGGTAGGTACTACCTGTTTTATTAGTTTTGATAAAATACAACGAGCAAACATCCAAACAATGTGAAGGCCTTTGTTTATGCGTAAATGACTCTCAAATGTAGTACTTGGGTTACTAACAATTCGCAAACGTTAAACTCAGCCACCGATGGACTGATTATGAAAAGATTTATAACTGCATATACCTACTTATTTTAATTGTGTATAATGTAATCCTTAAATCTATTTGTTTATAACTTGTCAATTATAGTTTAGTTTACAGATAGGTAATAAATAGAAAAAATAAAGTTGGAAATCCAAGCATTCCTAACTTTTCATGATGGAAAACTTTATAAGAATAAAGACCATAAGACATCTCTTACAAAACAAAACTGTTTACATACCGGTAGTAACTGGAATAAAACAAAAATTGTAGTTACCTATTACTTATAAAATTTTAATATTATTCATTGTTCTGCTATAAGATCAATATTGAAATTTAACAGGCACTTAAAAAAAATGGATATTCACCATCTAAATTTAAATTAATATAATATAAAAGTTAAATCTTAAACTGTATGTATACAGGCATAATACATGTATGGTTTATCTATTATATCATATAAAATAAAATTATTACTAGAAATTAAATAAACTTACATGTTATTTCACCTAGAAAGAAAATACCCATCAATAATTTATAAGTATAATTATAAAAAAAATTCATAAAATGTTATTACTTAAGAGTTTCCTCTTAAGTTTCCTCTATTGATTTATTTGAAAATTCTTAATAAATTTACAAAATGTTCAGTAGGTTACCCTAACTATGAAATGTAAAAGTTTTTGGACTTCATCTTGTATCAATTAATTTTATCAACATGGATATGTGTTTGCGCTTGATAAAGATATTTTATTTTTCTAACCAATTTTTTAAAATAGACGTTTTCTTTGTTAGCGTTACTTCTTAAAATAAAAACATATTTATGTTTCATAGATTTTCATTGTAGAGGAAAAATATCGAGTAGCATGCTTTTTGAGTTTTCTTATACTAGGTACAACGTTCTATGTTGTACGCCATACCATACAAATAAATAAACAAATAACACAAATGTACCTACACCTTTTATAATGTCTAACAAGTGTTCTAGATATGAAATGTTTATTTTCTATAGTTTCCAGTTTATTAAAAAACTACTTTGAGATAAAAAAAAATTAAGTAAATTTACTAAGAAACTTCAAACAAAAATTAATTATAAAGATCAATAAAATAAAAAAACTCAAAAAATGTTACATACCGTGGTCTGGAAAATAATAAAAAATACTCATAATTATTATGCGTATTATTTGTCTATAAATTTTAAATCAAAGGTCCGGAAGAAAAAACAATATGAAAAATTAACACAATATTGTTGTAATATACTGATTTAATAATTAAAGTAATAAATAATCATTAATCCTCATAGCATGAAAATAAACTAATAATACATCTATACTATACTAAAAAATTGTATGATATAATAATATGGACTTTTAGAATTTCGACGGCTTGAAACTAATATGCTATTAAAAAATATCAAATTCTCTGGGAGACCAATTTAAAACTTTATAACTGTATTATCTGTAGGGAAAGTGGCGTACCCATCGCCCAGTACACAACATTGTGTACTGCAATAGCCCCACACTGACTTTAACTAGTAGGTGTGGTCTGGTCCTCCTGGTAGGGGGTTTAGCGTAGGGTTGACAACCCTACCTAGAAAAAAACAACATGTTCAGGATCAAGCAAATTTGCCTCGGGACAGAGTTTTTGGAAAATTGACTGGAAAACGGAAAAAGGACTTATCTTTCGGAACTTAGAACATTTCGCACACTATTTAAATCTGGAACAGTTCACAACATAGTGAATGAAGTTGAAAAATATAAAGAAAAATCAACAGCATTACAAGAAATTAGATGGGCCAATACAGGGACGATAAATATAAACGAGACAACTATCTTGTATAGTAGCTGTACTGATAAACGTCAACTAGGAACGGGTTTTGCGGTGCATAAAGATTTAGTCCCTGTTGTTAAATAATTCAAAGATATTAACCCTAGAATAAGTATGTTAACAATAGAAACACAATGGTTCGATATAAGCTTCATGAATGTACATGCCCCAATGGAGGACAAGTCCCAAGATGAGAAAGAAACGTTTTATGAACAATTGGAAAGTTTGCTGAACTCGATTCCTAGCGATAGGATACAAATTGTACTAGGAGATCTAAATGCCAAAGTTGGGAAAGAAACAATGTTTCGACAAGTGGCAGGAAAACACAGTCTACACGATGAAAAAAATGACAACGGACTTAAACTAATTGACTTGGCAATCGAGAATGGTTTGGTAATAAAGAGTACAATGTACCCACATAAAAATATTCATAAAGGGACATGGAGATCACCAGATGGAAGATATACTAACCAAATAGACCATATTCTGGTCAATTCAATATATAAAAATTGTATCCAAGATGTCAGATCGATAAGAGGAGCGGACTCGGACTCAGATCACTATCTCGTAAGAGAAAAAATGAAAATAAAACTCAAAAGACGCCCTCATACAAATATGGAACAACTTACCAGATATGATGTAACAAAACTGGATGACATAAAATGTGTAAATACCTTCAGACATAAAATACGTCATGATTTTAATAACTGCGACTTTAACAGCATGGTATCGGTAGATGAAAGGTGGAATAAAGCTAAGGATATAATAAACAAAACATCCGATGCTGTAATAGGAAAACAAAAGAAATCGAAGAAACCATGGTTTAACGATACATGTAGGAGAGCCCTAAAACGGAAAAAAGAAAGTAGAATACAGTGGCTTAGCGACACAGACAACGTAGAAAAGAAAATAACTACATAATATGCAAAAAAAAGTAAACAATATAATCAGATACAAAAAGAGAAGGTACACGAAGAGACCATGCTAGAAGAAACAGAAGAATACCAAAAATCGAATAGGTCACGTCAACTATTCCAAAATATCAATGCCCTTAGAACAGGATTCAAGAAACAAGAAAAGTTCATAAAAAATTGCGATGGTACACTGACTACAGAGTATAGACCCAAACGATATCTTGGATAAATGGAAAGATTACTTTGAGAACCTCCTTAATTGCGACGAGCCTATTAACTCATTCACTTGGACTGACGTAGAACCAAACGAAATCGAATACCTCCCACCAGACAGAATTGAGATAGCAAAACAAATTAAGAGGCTGAAAAATCATAAGACTCCGGGTGAAGATAGAATACAGGCTGAGATTCTAAAGAGTTTAGATGAAGAAACCATATTCAATATACATAATCTAGTAGAATTAGTATGGAAAGAAGAAAAAATCCAGGAAGATTGGAAAACCGCATTAGTGTGTCCGATATATAAAAAAAACGATCCACTCGAGTGCAACAATCATAGAGGCATTGCTTTACTCAATACAACATACAAAGTTTTATCTTACTGCATCCTAGACAGAATTAAACCAATCTCCGAAGGAATACTGGGAGACTACCAAGGGGGTTTTAGACCAAATAGATCCACTACAGATCAAATATATATTATAAGGCAGATATTACAAAAAGTGTGGGAGTTTGATAAGGAGGTCCATACCTAGTTTGTAGACTTTGAGAAAGCCTACGACTCCATACATAGACCAACACTATTTAATATATTAAAAGAGTTCAATATGCCAAGAAAGTTAAATAACATGATTAAAGCGACTATGGAAAATTCTGAAATAAAAATAAGAATAGAGAACTCTACATCTAAATTGTTCAAAGTAACTTCTGGTTTAAGGCAAGGGGATTATCCCCAATCCTTTTTTAACCTAGTTCTGGAAAAGGTGGTCAGAGATATGAATATATCAGAAGGTATAACCTTAGGATTGTCAAAGATAGGCCTGCTAGCATATGCCGACGATATTGCCATCATAGCAGACAATATTTAAATAGTTAAAATACATTGTAAGAAGCTAATGGATGCTGCGGGTAAGGTCGGCCTCAGAATAAATGATAGTAAGAAGGAATATATGAAACTCAACAGAAGAGACAGGACGTATAGACACAGAGAAAGTATGAATGTAGATGGACATATATTCCACAGGGTTCCGCAATTTAAATGCTTAGGTGTCCTCTTAACTCAGGACAATGAGTTAAAAGTAGAGATTTCAAAAAGGAAACAACTGGCCAACAACTGCTATTTTGGTTTAGGAACCCTGCTAAAATCTAGATCAATATCCCTAAATTTAAAAATAAAAATATATATAACATTATAACGTCCTGCCATCCTATATGGGTCAGAAACATGGGCTCCAAGAAAGATAGAGGAAATAAGATTGGACACCTTTGAAAGAAAAGTTTTAAGACGAATCTATGGACCTTGTCTCGACACAGGAACCAAAGAATGGAGAATTCGAACCAATGAGGAAGTATATAACTTGTTCCAAAGACCAAGTATGTCAAGGGAAGTTGCAAAAAGAAGACTGATGTGGGCAGGTCACGCGTGGAGGTAAAAAGACGCTATGATAAACACAGTAATTAAAGAGGATCCGAAACGAAAAAGACCACTAGGCAGACCACGCCTTAGATGGGAAGACTGTGTGAAGAGAGAAGTAAAAGAATTAGACCAAAGAACAAACTGGAGAGAAATAGCTGAAAACAGAATAAGGTGGAGGGAAATTTGTTTTAGGGGATGGTCTTAAAGGCCGGAAAACCACCCCAAAAAAAAACTGTATTATCTCCTTTCGTTAACTATAATTTTTAATGACTGTGATTATTTTTATACTGATACTTTTTATATAATATGTATATAAAAAAACAAATAAATTATACGTACTACATTTTTCTGTAAACGATAATGTTTAATTCATTATAATTCCAAACAATATAATATTTACGTACCCGACTCAGGAATAGAAAAAAAGGTTTTTTTTTTTTTTATTGAACTTGAGCCCGGAAACTTAGGCCATTAGCTTTTTTGTTTGTTTGTAGGTTGTTGGTAGGGGGTAACACGTTTTTTGTATGTGTGGCAAGGATTCGTTGCTAAAAATCCCGGGTGGTCACCCATCCGGGAACTAGCAACACCGGCCGTTACGTGCACTCAGTGCGTTTCCACAGATGAGTGTACACACTGCGCCACACCAAGAAAAAATTTATTTTTATATTATTGTTATTTGTTACTAATCAAACTTATGGTTTATTATAAATTTTCATGATTTTAAATATTAATTAGGAGATTATTTTTTCAACTCATTGTTTTTATTAATTTATACAATTTGATTAATAAATAATGAAATATTCCTTAATTTCATACTATATTTACAATAACTGGGATTAAAAAGATATTTTTACAAAAATTTTGTAGCAAAATATTATAGTGTGATATTTTTCAGTTGTCAGGAAAGAATAAAATAAAACCCCTTAGGAACGCTTACTCTGCGATTCCCGTTTTCTAAATTCCAATATGATAAGTTTCCGTAATTACTATTCAAATTTCAACAGTTCTTCTTCTTTGAGTCAAAGTGGTATCACCGATTACAAACTTCACCCACGGCTCATCACCCATAATACTCTTATCATGCCATATTACTTTGGTAATAGTTCCTTATTGTAAAACAGCAGATTGTTGCTTACATTTTTACAAAACGAAAAAAAAATTTACTTTTCAAAAAGTGAGTCACGAAAGAATTCTCGTTTCCCCTTGTTTTTTTCTAAGTTCATTTTAAGTATTTTGAATGATTTGTAAAGTTATTTTTAATTTTAATTTCTAATTATACCAACTACCTAGGTAGAATTTTCAGCTAAAAATCACCCTAAAGGTGACAAATTGAAGCATTTTTACTTTTCCAAAACACGATAAAAACAAAAAAAAACATTATTTTTTTATTGATACTTTTTATATAGGTAATATGTATATAAAAAAACAAATAAATAATACGTACTACATTTATCTGTAAACGATAATGTTTAATTCATTAATAATGATGTACATAATATTTTTCATAAATAGATTATATTATATGCATATGTTTATATCATATGCATATAATATCATCTTTCTAACCCAGTGATGATTTTTTACATCATATTATATCGAGATAAAGAAAACACGAATATTGAAAAAGCTATCCTCTATAGGTATAGGGGTTAAAAATATGCTATTATGGCACTTTCCAAGTCTCAAGGAAACTAGTTGTATAACTTTTACGTCAATCGGTCAAGTCGTTTAAAAAAGTTACACAAACAGGAACGTAATACACTCAACAATTATATATACCTATATACAGGACTTGAAACCGGTTACCGGTTTTTACCAAAAACCGGTCATAACCAGGAGTTTTGGGGAACCTATAATCGGTTAGGTACCGTTATTATAAATCTATTTGTATCCCCGGTTATTGGTTACCAGTTACCGTGACAATTTTTCAGCTAACATAAAACGTTATAATGACGTAATGTATTTTAACAGGTTATGGGCCTATTACCGATGTTTATAAATACTGAGTACAGAATAACGTTACCTATGAACTATAATATCAATCAGAGTACGATAAAAGGCAGACGACTCAACTCTTAACAGACAACGTATAGACATCTGTAAATCGTTGTGTCTCTGATAGGGCACGGGTACAAAGGTGTAGTACAATTTTTTTTTGGAAAATCGGTATTCAATCAGTTTTCGGTAACAGAAATTTTTTGGAAGCGCTTATCACTTAATCGGTAACCTGTACATTTACATATAGTACCGGTAATTTGTTACTGCTAATAACAGGACCGGTATAAAACCGGTAACCGGTATCCAAAATTATTTTTCGATCACCGTGTTCGCTAACCGATTAATTTAGTAGGTAACGGTTTTAAGCCTTGCCACTATATATAAATATTACACTAAATTATTTTAGTATCAGTTTAGGTATTTAAAAAATCAGTAAAGATTTACTTAATTTTAATATATTATAATTTATAATCATATATTTATAACTGCACTAAAAAACAACTATTCAATGGTAAATTATTCACCATGAACACTGAGCACATACCTACCTTATTTAGAAATATAATGTTAGAAAATTAAAAATAACGAATAAATAATAGCGTTTCAAAATACTAAACTATGATATTATATTTTAGTCTACTTAGAGTTCAATCAGTAATCACCTATCTGAGATTAAATTGCAGGACATTGTTTTAACGTTTTAGATTCTGAGCGGAGCGAGGAAGCTAGTGGTTTTACAATAGTGTTTATTTTTTTAATTTTTTTTTTATTATTCTGTATACAAAATTTCTACCAAAAGGAGTGCTTCGATTTCAACATATCTTATCTTATATTTTAGAAAATTGGATCAAGATGGTACTTTGTATAGGTTATTTTTCGATTTTCTCAATAATTATTAAACAATTATTAAATGAAACGGGAAAAACCATGACAAATTACAAAAAACCGCTAAAAATGGGATTTTCATTTATAAAACTTTGTTAATCACTATAGAAACGAATAAGAAATTATTATATTATAATACTAATTCAATTTACATGATACAATAAATAATAACAATATATAAAAGTTCAGACTGACAAACCATCTCCTCTTAGATTTGTTTTTTTTTAGACAATGTACAATGATATTATATATTGATATCATTGAATTCAAGTTTAATACAATCCATTATACATTTACCCACTTGTAACCTACTGTACAGCACAGTGACTTCCACTAACCCGCTTTTTGTTATCATCTAAACTGATTTTCAATTATCTAACTAAGAACTGAACGGCTGAACCATTGTAACGCTGTGTGTTATGACTTAACTGTGTTGTAATTTAACATCTGATAATTATAGAAGTAGAGAAAGTAAAAATAATATTATG